AAGATGAGGAAAGAATCAAACATTACAAAACCATTAAAATTAAGGTATTGCTACATACCTTTCAATTATAACTCTGAAAGTGAATGTTCTCAATGCTTCAACTAAAAGGCACTTCTTGGCAGATTGCATTAAAAACAAGATCCAACCATTTGTTGCCTGCCCAAAACACACTCACTGGAAAAGAAAAGCACACACTTAAAGAGAAAGGATGAAAAAAGATATTCTAAGCAAATAGAGACCAAAATCAAGCAGTAGTAGGCTATACTCATATTAGATAAAGCAAACTTCACCCCAATATTATCAGAAGAGACAAAACTGACTTTGTATTGACTAAGGGAACAATTCATCAAGAGCCTATAACAATGGTAAATATATATGCATCAAACATTTGACACTCAATTTCATAAAACAAACACTACTGGACATAAAATTATAGATAGTTCCCAACACAATATTAGTGAGAGACTTTAATCTCCCACTCTCATCAATATAAGTCATCCAGACAAAGAATGACACTAAAGATCAAATGGATTTAACAAATATCTACAGAAATATTCTACTAACAAATTGCTGAATACACATTCTTCTCAGAAGCTCATAGAACTTTCTCCAAAACAGATCATATTTAGGACATAAAGGAAGTTATAACAAATATAAAAAATTGCAATAACTTCCTTATTTTATCCACTGCAATTGAATAAAACTAGAATCAACAGAAAAATAAACTACAGAAAGTATTCAAACACATGGAGACTGAAAAAATATACTCATTGAACATCGGAGGGTCATTGAAGAAATAGGGAGAAATAAAACTTTCTAGAATCAAATGAAAATGAAGACACAACTTTACAACCTTTGGGACACAGCAAAGCAGTGCTAAGAAGGAAGTTTTATAACTATGAGCACCTGCGTTTAAAAAGTCAGATCTCAAATAAATAACCTAGTAATATACCTAAAGCTCTTAGAAAAACAAGGACAAGCCAAATCCAGAATTATTAGATGGAAAGAAATAATAAAAATCAGGAAAGAAATTAATGAAATGGGGACTAAAAAGGTAAGCAAGATTGACAAACCTTTGGCAAACTATCCAAAAGAAAGATCCAGATTAATAAATTATATATGAGAAAGGAGATATCACAATAAATTTCAGTGAGAGTCAGAGTATTATCAAGAAATGCTTTGAAAATCTGTATTCTAATAAACTGGAAAATCTGGAAGAAATAGATAAATTTTTAGGTGTGTGTATAACCTACTTAAATTGAACCAAGAGAATATAACCACTTAAGAAGATCTATGAACAATGAGATTGAAGCAGTAATGAATCTTCTAACAAAGAAAAGCCCAGGACCATAAATTCACTACCAAATTCTACCACACCTTTAAGTAAAGTACTAAGGAAAACATTTTAATATACAGGCAAAGACAATGACATTCTGAATAGGACTCTAGGAAACAAGAATTGACAAATGGGACTGTATCACATTAAAAAGCTTCTATGCAGTAAAGGAAACAATTACTGGAATGAAGAGATAGCCTATAGAATGGAAGAAAATATTTGCTAACTACTCATTGGACAAAGGATAAATATCTAGAATATTATAAAGAGCTCAAAAATTAAACACCAATATAACCATCCAATTAATAATTAGGAATATGAATTGAACACACAGCTCTTAGAAGTATAAAGTCAGTGAATCCTTAGCCATAAGGAAAATGCAAATCAAAACTACTTTAAGGTTCCATCTCATCCCAGTCAGAATGGCAAGCATCAAGAAAACAAACGATAATTAATTGCTGGTGAGGATACAGGGAATAATAAATCTTTATATATACACTATTGGTGGGAATGTAAACCAATGCAGTCATTATGAAAATCAGTATAGAAGTTCCCCAAAAAACTAAAAATAGAGCTATGATATGACCCTGCTGAACCACTCTTGAGCATATATCAGAAGGAATATAAGTCAATATACAGTACAGACCCTTGCACACACACTTATTATAGGAATGTTCACAACAGCCAAGCTGTGGAATTAGCCTAGGTGTCCAACAAATGGTGAATGGATAAGTAAAATGTGGTCTATAAGCACAGTGGAGTGCTATTCAGTCACAGAGAAGAATAAAATTATATCATTTGCACACATTTCACTGGAACTAGAGATCATCATGTTGAGCAAGATAAGAAAAGCTGAGAAAACAAATATCACATTTTTTCAGATCTAGACCTATATAACATAATAGTAATATGACATGAATGTAAAAGGGTGACCATTGGGTGGGAACCAGTGGAAGGGGGAGAAGGAAAGGAGAAAGTGATGAGGTGAATGTGATCAAAACGTATCATACATGTGCATGCAAGTAGCATAATGAAACCTACTAAAAACTGCAAAATAGGGAATGGGGGAGGGGAGCTAAGGTATAATAGAGGGAGTGAATTTGATCAAAGTACATTGTATGTATATATGGAAATATAATGAAATTATACACTACACTAATAATTAAAATGCAGTAATAAGCTAAAAACATGCAATTAACTACAGTAATAAGTTTTTAAAAAAGGAAAAATAAACTTAGTCTAATTATATGTTAAGGCTTAAGGTTTAAGTAGGGTTGTTGACTTTTTTTGTGGGGTGTTCTGTCTGTTTTCTCTGATTTTTGCTTCCCTGTGCATAATTGGGACACTTTGAAGGATTCCACTAGACTTATCTACAGTATTTGGGATATTTTCTGTGCAGTTTTAAGTGATCACTGCCAGTGTAACATCATATACACGTTATTTGTCACAGTGTATTGTGGGCACCATCTTATCAGTTTGGAATATTTGTAGAAATCTTATTTTTATGTCCCTTTATGCTCCACATTTTAGAATCATCTAAATAACTCTTCAGCATACATTTAGAACCATAATAACCTGCATTGTAAATTTTGCTTGCATCATCAAACATAATTTAGAAAATGCATTTCCTCACTTTCAGTGTCATATTTGCTTTATACATAGTGTTCAGAGATTTCATTGCAATTAGCTTAAAGAAGAGTGAAAAGTATATCCAAGATGGGTGTGGTGGTATATGCTTGTAATACTAGCTACTCGTGAGGTGGAAGGAGAGGATCAAAGTCCAAGATAGGCCAGGAAAAAGCACAAGACCCTATCTGAAGAACACACTAAAAAGCAAAAAGACTGGAGCATGGCTCAAGTGGCAGATTCTTGCCTCCTAAGCATGAGGCTCTGAGTACACTTCCCAGTACCACCAAAAAAAAGAGAGAGAGAAAAAAGAAGGAGGAGGAAGAGGAAGAGGAGGAGGAGGAGGAAGAGGAGGAGGACGAGAGGGGAGGAGAGAGGTGAGAAGAAGAAGAAGGGAAAGGAAGGGAGAGAAGGAGGGAGGAAAGAAGGAAGGAAGTTTTAACAGCCTTCTGTGATATGCTCTCTAATACCAAGCAGTTCTCTTATGTGAGTAAAGCTATAGAGAATGTAGCTTTCTTTTTCAATAAATGGAAATTGGCTGGTGAGTTCCTCATAATAATACCTGTACTTGAACACAGTCATAAATTGATGCATTATTTTCCTCATCAGAATTTGCTTTACAACATTGCATTTTTAATACTTTCCATAAAATAATAATAATAAATGCTGTTGTTATTTTGTGTGCTGGGCATCAAACTCAGGGCCTAACAAATACTTGGCAAACTCTCTACCATTGAGCCACACCCCCAGTCCACCTGTAAGTTATTTTTACATGCACCCTCACCATTCTCTTCATATCTGTGTTAAAATATGCAAACCAAAACTGAATATATTTTTAAAGAAAACAATAAAACTTTAAACAATGTGCGTTTATTACTACCTGAATTTTGATTGTCACCATCTTGTTAATAAATACTAGGATTGTGTTTGCTTTTGTGATATTTCACTTCCCACATGTGCCACTTGTCTTAAGCATGCTCTGTCTTCCTTCCTGTGCCAGATATTTGAAGGAATGCCAACAAATACACCATTATGGAGTAGTGCCTTGTTGAATGAAGCTTGTAAAATGTGAAGAGGACCTGTTTTGTTTTGTTGATTTTTGTTTTTCTGAGATAGGGCCTTGCTTTGTACCTCAGGCTGGCCTTAAACTGGTGATCCTCCTGCCTCAGCCTCCCAACTGATGGGATAACAGGTGTGAGGGACCATCACTCTCAGCTTCATTCTTTGAGATAAAGAATGCAAGGCTTTGGATGGGCCAGTGCAAATGAAGGGCCCCTGAAGCTTAAATTTCACTAGCTTCATGGCATATAAAGTTTTCATCTATAAAATGGAAATACATGGAAGAGCTAATTTCAATCACTATCTTTTTGGTATATTATGACCTTGATAAGCCTTAAAAATTAATCCCTCCCAATCACAAAGGCAGAGGACCCACTCTTCTCCATACACAGGAAGGTTTTGGTTTACTTGATCTAAGATTTAAGGCACATTCTTCCATTCTGCTTGATTTTCTTTCATTCCAGTTTTGTTAGCAGTGACTTGTGTTGCCTTTGTGATTACGATCACAAAAAGGGATAGAAAAAAAGAAAAGGGCCCATCTTCTCTAATTTAGGACATAGATGTTTGGAAAATTTAAGAAGTATTTTCCAAATAGTCCCTAATCCTGTTAACTTTCTTCCTGTGGTTGGAAAAAAATAAATTGAAGAAATTTATATTTAATAAATTTAATAAGTAGAAGATTTATAATTCCTTTTAGACAACATTGCTTGATATTTCAAAATTATTGGGACTCAGTGGCATAACAAAATAATACCACTTGTTTTCCCCTCCTGTTTTGTTCTTACTGAACACACCCAATATCCAAAACCTGCCTGAAACACTGCCATGCAATCCCTGATGGTTGTTAGTCATACCACCTAAAATGTGGTCAGTGCAATACATCTGAACTATAGGAATGGGAACTAAATTATGCTTGTTACTTCTAAGTCAGTTTATGTTTGGAATGAAAGATAAGTCTGTGGGAAATTTTAACTTTCAGGTCATTTTTGTACAACCATCTTTTTTTGGCTGATGAGTTATTTCAAGCCTGTTTGCTTTACATATGGGGACTTTGTGAAGATGCACTTAATCTCAAAACTGATGTTGAAGATAAGGGTAATCCATCTGCTGTATGTCTTTTAAAGGTGAGTAAAAGTATACTGCTGTGAGCTAATATTGGTATGTCGATACCTGGAGGAACAAGTGGAGCTCTGAGTGAAAGGAAAATGGACTTCTAAGTCCATAAGTACACCATCCCTGTGGATGACTCATGTTCCTAAGTATTGGCAAAGAACATGATTTCCTTGGTAGTCAACTTCAATAGTTACCAACACCCTTTAGAAAGAACTTCTTTATGTTGGACTTAGGTCTATGGGACATGAGTTTTCAAATGTCTCTCTAAAAGTGCAATATTACTTATGAATTATTATGTCTAGAGTTAATTAGTGGTCACTAATTAATGTAATAGCTACCCTTCCCTTAATATAGCATGTTAGAACTTACCATAAGTTACAACTCAGAGATTTTGCTTAAATTTATGAATGTTCCTATTTTGATACTGTAGAATGGATGAGCTTCTTAATGGAATTGTTCAATTAAATTTATTGGATAGCTTTTTTGAAGAAGCTAAACACATAGTACTGTAAGTCTTAAAGTGTTTAAGTTCAGTTGAACAGGATTCCAGGAGACAGTACTTCATGGGCCCAGTGTATGAGGAAGATACTAAAAAGTAAAACTGTTAGTCATGTAACAAACACATATCTTTAAATGGGTGAAATTTCTAGAATTAGAAGGCAAAGAACATGTGTGGATCATTTTGTCCAAATTTCATTTTCAAATGACAAAACTGAGTTTCAGAGAGATCATCGCTTTCCCAAGTTCCCAGAATGAAGCAGAGTTGAGACTTTAGCTTATGTTTCATGTGCAAGAGTGAAGCTCGTTTTATTAGAAAGTAATTGGTGTGATTTATAAACATGTAGATATTGTATCCTGCCCCTGTTGGAGCAGAGGACAGTGAGTAGGCTAGTAATCTTTACTTTTAATAAGTTTCTCAGGTGATTCTTTTGCCAGGTAAATTTTGAGAACTACTTTTAAAGAATAACTACTGGAAGTTTCTGAGCATGGTGTTTTAGGGAAAACTTAAGTGGAGAGATACCAGGATTAAAGAATTAGCATACTACTAAAATAATGCAGGTATGAGCAATAAGGGACTCAACTTAGGATGTTGGCAGGAGAACAAAAAGGAAGAAAGATTTTTGAGACATACTTTACTAGAAAAATCACTTGATGATCAGCCGTGGGGCCAGGAGGAGAAATGAAAGAGTAAATCTGAAATGCTAAGGTTAGAGCAGGACTTTTCAGTCTTTGTTTTTTGGGGCTATCATTGAATAATTGTTAAGAGTATATCTAGAGATAAGGAGGTCTGTGAATTTACTTATGAGAATGTGTTATGGCAAGGGTAATAACACACTGTAGGAAAATAAGAAAATACTGTACATGAACAGATGAAATATCCTGTATTCCCAGTGAACAATTAATAGCATGGTTGATGGAAATTTCTCTCTGCTGGGTTCTGAATAAGTACTGAATAAAATTTACCTTATTTCTATTGTTTAACTTTAGTCTCTTCATCCTGCATTTCATGTTCATGTTTTAAAGTTTTACAAATAACTAGAATGTCAAAAGTTAATTTCTGGAGTTGGTGGGTCCCCTGAAAAAATACTTTGACTTTTGACTTTTTTGGATTTGGCTTAATATTAGTTCTGATTTAAAATAATGATGTGTTTTTGTCTCATCATTTTGAGTTACATTTAAGCATGGGCATTTAAATTTAAAGGACACATAATGCATATGGTATACAAAGCATAGAGTATTTTTAAAAGAAACTATAAAATATGCTCTCCTATATGACATGAAAAGATGATCAAATACCTCTTTTCTATAAATGAATTTTGAGTTCCCAACACTCACATGCACTATCATTTAATTAGCTGGATCATTCTCGAACATACTCTCTGGATGAATTTTGTGAAGAACAGTCACAACAAGCCACTCAGGCACTGAAACAACTGGAAACCATCAGGGATAAAGCAATTTTAGAGATAAAAAGCACAATCTTAAAGGTAATTCTTCAACTATATCCTGGCTGTTGCTATATACCAACTGAAGGAATTATTCCAAATTGTGTCCCTTGAAAAAATGTAGGAAATGGGCAGTAGAGAGGAAAAAGGTGGCTAAGTAACAGCTTACTCATTACTAAGAATAAGAACTTAAAAAGCAAATGTAAAATGAAAAGAAATACCTGCAGATGTGTTTGTAGATATATAGATAGATGGATGCCTATATAAATATATTTAAATATACAACTTCAAGATACTTAAAACCTAACTTGAGCTGGTACATAAAGGGAAATCTGATTAGTTACAAAGTTCATAGCATTCATACAATAAAGAAAATGCATTGCTCAGGAGAAACCTAACTAGGTGAAATAACACTTTACTAAGGCTTTTATAAAGAGGATTCTGTAACAGAGTACACAGTGTGTTTAAGACAGTCTCATTGCATGTGCTGGTACTATACACTGTATGAAAGGTCCCACTGTGTCAGAGCAAGCACATAGCCACTCACTAGCATGTACTTCCTTGTTTGACTTCCAAAACTTGAATTTGCTTTTAGTGAGACACCAAACGCCACAAGCTTCAAAACATGTAAATTGTACCCTTTTTTTGTCTGATGCTTAAATACAGTATAAAGCATGAAGTAAAAATTTAATGAAAGTTGTTGACAAAGTTTTGTTCTAACATATTATTCAAGCTAATAAAAATACTATAAACTACAAATCATGCTGTACTAACTTAGGAAGTCATCATATTTCTCAATTGTTTATTAAATTCTAGGTTGCAGAAAAGAAGGAGATTAAAGAATATTTTGAATCAAAAGTTTCTGATGTTGACCAAAAACATTTCAAACTGCCTAAGTTCCGGCATTTACTGGAAAGAAACCTGAGGTTTCTGATGCTGGTTGACTACATATTTCAAGAACTTATCCGTCAGCTTATGAACAGAGCAGTCACTCTACTCTTGGAATTATTCTGTGGTTCTGCCAGAATGCCATGCTCAGGGGAAAAAAGGAATGAAAATCTCATCAGGTAAATAAAAAGGAGTTATAATCTTATAATATGTTTCTGCTTGTGGATGAACTCTCTGATAATCAAAGCTAGAATTTGAAAATCCCTGCTATAGCAGAATATTTACACTCACTTTTGCAATTATTTGAATTTATTAGTTACTAATACTTTAATATTGTCCTTGAAACTTAAGAGAATTTCCAGTTTTTCCTTAAACTCTTCATAGATCTGGTTGCCATATAAAATACAAGATGCCCACTGAAGTTTGAATTTCAAATAAACAATTTTTATATGTAAATATGACTCAAATATTACCTATACTATAAAATCATTATCTATCTGAAATTCACATTTCACTGGGTGCCCTCTATTTGCATTTGCTAAATCCGGCAATTTTATGTATAGGTATACCTTATCTTTCAAGTTCAGAAGTAGTTCTTAAAGGTATGGGAGAATGATTCTGGAAGGATCTACAAGATTCGCTTGGAATTTGATTCAATTCCAAGAACCATCTATTGAATATTTCCCCCAGATAAAAAAGTGTTGGGAAAATATTTTGACCTTTTATTTAAATTCTGCTGTTAAAAACAAAGCCTGTATCTATCTACTATTAGCTTGTGAAACAGGAATATTAATTGAAATGCCATAATTCTTTATGTATAAACTATCCAAATTTAGCTATATCATTTTAGGAAAATCAAAGTTTCATTAACATATCTAGAAAGCTGAAAATATATAAATTCATAAAATTTTGAAGACTATTAAAGATCATTACAAAAAACCCACAGACCTTACATCACTTATCTAAGGCCTCATAACTGGTTTGATCCAGTGCCAGTCTTTAACCTGTGGAAGAACACAACTGTTTAGTGATAACACATTTTAACTTTGTGCCCCCTAGAATTTGGTGTGTGTGTGTGTGTGTGTGTGTGTGTGTGTGTGTGTGTGTGTATGTTTTGTGTTTAGGTGGAAAAGTCTTTGTATTCTAAAGATAATTGTTTGTAATATATGTTATTATAGCTAATTCATCTTATTATAGAAAATTTAGAAAACAAATCACCTTTAATTCCACCACTTAAATACGTTTCATTATTTTTTGTGTGATAGCTTCTAGACTTTTCCTATACACTTTTCCATTGTTGTAATCCTAGAGTACAATTTTGTAGTTCATTTTTAAACACATCTTGTCTGTATTTTTTATAGAGTGAAGGAATGCCTAGGTAGTGGTTCAAGTGATTCACTTTTTGCGAATCCAACTAGCTGACTAGTTGTGTGACTTAGCTATTAACCTAAAAGAAGTTACATTCTTTCGACTTTAGTTTTTCTCAATCTATAGATGGGAACAGTAATTACTTACAATGTTAACATGAATACAGAGTAAATTGCCTGGTAAATGGTAGCTATCTATGTAGCGTGTATCATTGACCTCGTAACAATATTACTTGGTTTCAATGATGGCTAATGGTGCTGAGTGTTTTTCTTGTGGCATTGGAATTTTGTTTAAGGGAAATGTTATTAAAGTTGTCGCAGTTTAAACTGCTGTGCTTTTTTTTTTTATTGAGTTATATTTTGGATCTTCAGGTATCTTTTCACTTTAAAGTTTAAAAGGATTGCTTGGAGCAAAGTTTTTAATTTTTGTGAATTTCAGTTTACTTTTTCTTTGATTGTGCTTTGGATATATTGGCTTAAACAAGGTTCAATTGAAGATGTAATCTGTTTTCTTCTTCTATGTCTCAAAACTTTAGTTCTTGCATTTAAGTCTTTGAAACATTTTAGTTTTGTTTCTTAATATCTAGCAGTGATGGATCAAGTTATTTGCTATGAATTAAACAATTATTTGCTCCAGCATTATTAGTTGAAAAGTGCTATTTGTTTTTATTGAATTTGTGTTGAACTAGTTGCCAGCAGATGATCACAAGTGCATGGGTTTTATTTCTGGGACTCCCAATTTTGTTCCATATCTATGATTCTAATCTTTGTCATTTCTCCATCCCCTTTCTTTCTTCTCCCCTCCCTTCTCCTCTTCTCCCTCCTCTCCCTCCTTTTGCCTCTTCCTTTTTCCCCTCCCTTCTTCTGCCTGTTCACTATAGATGGTGCAGCCCAAAGCCTTCACAGATGCGTCCCATTGAACCTTGGACTTCTCAGTCGTAGAACTGCTAAGCGATAAGTCTCTGTTTTGTATAAATTTTCAATTCTCAAGTATTCTGTTATATAGTAGCACAGTGAACTAAGTCTGGGCTGTGTATTTGTTTATGAAGTACTACAAATTGTCAATATAGTTTTCTTGTTACAACCTATTCGGATTTTGTTATTTTTTATTGAGAATTTTGGTAATTTGGTGTTTTCTCGAATGTTGTCCATTTCAATCTAAGTTATCTAAATGGCTGGCGATGCAGTTATTTACAAATATCATTTTGAATTTTATATAAGGTCAGTATAATAGGCTTGATTCACCTTAGTAATTTGAATTAAGCCTACTTAGTTAAGTCCGCAGTTAGAAGTTTGCCCTTTGAACAACAATTGTTTGATCAATTTTCTTTTTCTCTAGCTAACATATTTCCTATTCTAGTTATTAATTTTTCTTTCTGGTTTGCTTTGGGTTTAGTTTTTTTTTTTTTCTTTTTTTTAGCAGAACACCGTTTAGATTGCTTAAGGGTTTTTTTTTTCTTTTTTTACTTGTTAATTTCGTCTTGGCACTGGCTTTCACTATCTTGTAGTTAAGTTTCAGTATGTTGTGTTCCATTTAACTAATCTCATTTAATTCTAATTTTTCTTGTAATTCCTCTTGAACATAGTTATTGGGCATGTGTTCATTTAATTTGCATATTTGTTTTTAATTTTTTTTTCATTTTTTTTTATTTATTCATATGTGCATACAAGGCTTGGTCATTTCTCCCCTGCCCCCACCCCCTCCTTACCACCCACTCCCTCCTCTCCTCCCCTCAATACCCAGCAGAAACTATTTTGCCCTTATTTCTAATTTTGTTGTAGAGAGAGTATGCAATAATAGGAAGGAACAAGGGTTTTGCTGGTTGAGATAAGGATAGCTATACAGGGCATTGACTCACATTGATTTCCTGTGCGTGGGTGTTACCTTCTAGGTTAATTCTTTTTGATCTAACCTTTTCTCTAGTTCCTGGTCCCCTTTTCCTATTGGCCTCAGTTGCTTTTAAGGTATCTGCTTTAGTTTCTCTGCGTTAAGGGAACAAATGCTAGCTAGTTTTTTAGGTGTCTTACCTATCCTCACCCTCCCTTGTGTGCTCTCGCTTTTCATGTGCTCAAGTCCAATCCCCTTGTTGTGTTTGCCCTTGATCTAATGTCACATATGAGGGAGAACATACGATTTTTGGTCTTTTGGGCCAGGCTAACTCACTCAGAATGATGTTCTCCAATTCCATCCATTTACCAGCGAATGATAACATTTCGTTCTTCTTCATGGCTGCATAAAATTCCATTGTGTATAGATACCACATTTTTTAATCCATTCGTCAGTGGTGGGCATCTTGGCTGTTTCCATAACTTGGCTATTGTGAATAGTGCCGCAATAAACATGGATGTGCAGGTGCCTCTGGAGTAACAGTCTTTTGGGTATATCCCCAAGAGTGGTATTGCTGGATCAAATGGTAGATCGATGTCCAGCTTTTTAAGTAGCCTCCAAATTTTTTTCCAGAGTGGTTGTACTAGTTACATTCCACCAACAGTGTAAGAGGGTTCCTTTTTCCCCCAGCTCCTCGCCAACACCTGTTGTTGGTGGTGTTGCTGATGATGGCTATTCTAACAGGGGTGAGGTGGAATCTTAGTGTGGTTTTAATTTGCATTTCCTTTATTGCTAGAGATGGTGAGCATTTTTTCATGTGTTTTTGGCCATTTGAATTTCTTCTTTTGAGAAAGTTCTGTTTTAGTTCACTTGCCCATTTCTTTATTGGTTCATTAGTTTTGGGAGAATTTAGTTTTTTAAGTTCCCTATATTCTGGTTATCAGTCCTTTGTCTGATGTATAGTGGCAAATATTTTCTCCCACTCTGTGGGTGTTCTCTTCAGTTTAGAGACCATTTCTTTTGATGAACAGAAGCTTTTTAGTTTTATGAGGTCCCATTTATCTATGCTATCTCTTAGTTGCTGTGCTGCTGGGGTTTCATTGAGAAAGTTCTTACCTATACCTACTAATCCAGAGTATTTCCTACTCTTTCTTGTATCAACTTAAGAGTTTGGGTCTGATATTAAGATCCTTGATCCATTTTGAGTTAATCTTGGTATAGGGTGATATACATGGATCTAGTTTCAGTTTTTTGCAGACTGCTAACCAGTTTTCCCAGCAGTTTTTGTTGAAGAGGCTGCTATTTCTCCATCGTATATTTTTAGCTCCTTTGTCAAAGATAAGTTGGTTATAGTTGTGTGGCTTCATATCTGGATCCTCTATTCTGTTCCACTGGTCTTCATGTCTGTTTTTGTGCCAGTACCATGCTGTTTTTATTGTTATTGCTTTGTAATATAGTTTGAAGTCAGGTATTGTGATACCTCCTGCATTGTTCTTTTGACTGAGTATTGCCTTGGCTATTCGTGGCCTCTTGTGTTTCCATATAAATTTAACAGTAGATTTTTCAATCTCTTTAATGAATGTCATTGGAATTTTGATGGGAATTGCATTAAACATGTAGATTACTTTGGGAGTATAGACATTTTTACTATGTTGATTCTACCAATCCATGAGCATGGGAGATCTCTCCACTTTCTATAGTCTTCCTCAATCTCTTTCTTCAGAAGTGTATAGTTTTCCTTGTAGAGGTCTTTCACATCTTTTGTTAGGTTTACACCTAGGTATTTGATTTTTTTTGAGGCTATTGTAAATGGAATTGTTTTCATACATTCTTTTTCAGTTTGCTCATTGTTAGTGTATAGAAATGCTAATGATTTTTCTATGTTGATTTTATATCCTGCTACCTTGCTATAGCTATTGATGATGTTAGAAGCTTCTGAGTAGAGTTTTTGGGTCTTTAAGGTATGGATCATGTCGTCTGCAAATAGG